AGCAGGAAATAATCGCATGCATACTTTTAATTTATTTTCCTAAAGAAAGGTTAGTTCTCATTGGCTTTTATAATTCGATAATTCTGTTTGCTAATTGGGAACATGTTATGTCTATGTACATTTATATAAACAGTGATGTTGCTTAATTTACATTTATTCACTTTCTTCATTTTTAATCTGTTAGAAAATGGTGGATGGAGAATTTTTACCAAAATGGCTAACATTTTTATTCATGATTGGTGTCAAGCTGGACTTAGATAGCAATTGGAATTCATTTAATGTGAATAAAACATCATTTTAAAATAGCTGCTGATTAAATAAAGCTATTGGAAATGTACTAGAGGTATAAAATATAAAGATTATTGAACCATATTTCTGATTAAAACTGATTTACTAAACAAGGTGTTATCTGTAGTTAGTTAACTGAATTGATTGCTACTCTTTAGCGGGAACAATGCCCTTCAAGATTTTAGAACTAATAACTCTTATCCTTTTAAACTTGATTTTTATTTTGAGATAGGAAGAGAGAAAACACACTTTCTTGTATTTTCACCTTCCACTCTGTCTAGCTTGAATAAAGTAGTTATTAAATTCAATTAGTTGAATAAACTAAAATGAAAAAAAATACTCTCTGCATCTAGAAAAGAAGCTACTGCTGTCAAAAGCAGCTAGAGCACTTCAATAAACTCTGGTTCTAGGTGCTGAGCTAATACCTTTCCCCAGTTCAGTGATTTTACTTTATTTAACATGTTGACTTCAAATGTGGACTGCTTGGGGAAAAAAATCAATATAATTATTTTATGCCCTACATAACATTCATGTTTCAAGTTTAATTTAAAACATTTAATTTTGCAAAGAAAGTATTATTTAATTTAAAATAAAAATCCTATATTAATATATATTTTTCCATTTGAAAAAAAAACCTATTTTTTTTCTACCCTGGAATGCATTATCTAGGTTGTCTTATGGGAAATATAAATTTACATGCGTCAGCAAACCATTTTAAACACCAGTTCGTATGTTTTTAATTAATTTTGTGTTTTGTAAAAATGACTGTTGAATAAGTCCATGCAGCTATCCAAACAAAGTAAAGAATCTGTAGCTTCTAAATGAAAGTGTTGAAAGGGGAAGATTTGTGGAATTTGTAACTCCTGTGTCTGTTAAAAGACTTGGATAGAGGTCATAGGGGTGTTTGTGTTGAGAGACTACACTTGGTGGTAGTATTGGTCACAGACATTATTTTCGTTATCTTTATTTCTTCCAAGTAGTGTCAGATGGGTTAGCTTGCGTTTGAAAGTCATCATCTGCACTGTCCTACTTTTGTATCCTAATAATGAGTGTTTGCAGCTGCCTGCATGTATATAGCCCCTTGTGAGCCCACCGAGGGTTGGTGTCCTTCTTTGTTCCTGCTACCCAACCCACTATGCTCCCTCTCTGCTTCACATCCCACCACGAGGGGGAAGTGGTTCAGTCTGGGGGTGTTATTTTGCCCTGAAGGCATTGCTGTCTGCTGCAAGTGCAACCCAAGAGACAGCAGGTACCAACTAGAGCTTGGGAGAGTGGGGAGAAAGAAGAAAAACAGAACATGGTTTGGTTTAGTATGCATTAAATGGAAACTACAATAAGGAGGCTGACTGATCTCATTTCCAAAATATTGTATTCTTTAAGTACCCTTTGCAAGACTGTGGGTAGGAGGACCTACGCAATGCATAGTTAGCCTGACCTAAATTTGTTTATACTGGGTAAATTCACTAACTTCTTTACAGAGTGCAGATTTAGAGGATCAGACATAAACACAGCTACAAAGCAGTATAATAACAAATCAGAAAAGAGTGTGGTGTTCTCTACTTCACTAATAGTACAGCTGACTGGCTTAGGATGTAAGCCCTTGCTGCCAATTCAGTAACACTTAAGTGATTAGGTCCAATGATTAATGAAAAATCAAGGCCTGCAGAGCTGTGTCATCTGGCCCACAGGACTCCTGGAGGGGCTGGGAATTTGGGGGCAGGGCGGGAATGAGCTACAGAGCCCCACTGGGGATGTGTTAGCAGCAGAGCACACGCAAGGAATGCCTTAAATCCTGCAGCTGTCTCCTGCCGCTGCTTGCCCAGTCACCAGAGTGGGTTCAGATGTGACCTGTGAGGAGAGCTCTAATCTGGATCTGGCCGGGGAGGCCAAACCAGTTTGATACCTTTGTTTGATTAATCCTTTATTTGGTCTCAAGCAAGGTTCAACATTGAAAACTAAAGATTCTAGCCTTTTCTTTCTTTCTTTTATCAAGAGAAATAACATAAACTATCTTCATTTCTTTTGCATGGCTTTTGTAGAACATTGCCTGCACACTTGATTCAGAAGGCTTTCTTTAAACGTGAGGAGGTCATTTGGAGTCCTAGGGAAACGTAATGTAAACACTATTTTTTCAGGAAATTGAAAAGAAAATATTTGGAAGTTATTATTAATTTTTTTGCCTGTTACTACTTCTGTCAGGGTTGGTTATGTCCTGTGTTTGTTTTTCTGTCCCCTCTTGCCATTCTTCTCTTCAAATTCTCATCCTACATGAGGGGAAAGGAATTGTGCATAAAATGCTTTTCTTATGCATGGTTACAAAACAAGGCAAAGTCAGAATACTAATTATTGTAATGATCCAAGCAATTAAAAATGCCTGTAAACAAACCTCTCAGCTTCCTTTGTGTTGGTCAGCTACTTACATATGCCACTGATAAAGAGGAGACTGCTAATGTTAATCTAATATAAAACAGAATAATTGGTAAACATATTTTCCTTTTAATGCTGTATGGTAGACCATTGTTCAGTCAATTATTTATTTATAGTGAGTTGTTGATTATGAGTTATTTATTTAACCCTTTTAGCCCATTCATGTTGATGAAGCACTGCAAATATGGCTAGTCCCTAAGAACCTTGTACACATTGCACTTTGAGCTGCTTAAATGTTGACTGGTGTTAATGCTAGCTTGAGTTTGGAGCTTTTGGACTTTAAGGCTAAAAACCTTTTCCAGCTGTCCCCCACCTGCACAGATTTGAGTTGCCACTGCAGGGGTGGTGAGCAAGGACAGACTTCTGTCCTTGTTCTAGGTGGGGGGGTGTAAGAGATGGATTATGGGGAATGGGAACATGAAGCTGGGAGGTAGAGAGTTGATGGGATTGGGGTGGGTTATGTAAAGGGAGGTAAAAAGGAAATGGGGGTGGGGAAAGGGTGGGGAAATGAAGGAAGTCAGCTACTGAAAGATGAAATAAAAAGTAAAAAAAACGTAAAAAGAAACAAAGAAAAAGTAAATTAAAGAAGATCTCATGTTTTAATAGATTGGGATTTGGGATTGAAGTGTGAGGGGTGCAAATTGTGCTTTCTGGGTATCTGGGAAGTAGGAGCAGAGAGAAAAAGGGGCTTTGGGGAGACCCACTGTCCCTGCCTTGTGAAGGAAGCCCCAGATCATGGGGATCCAATCCAGCCCCCTTTTTTGTTCCTCCCCAACCCCCCTAGACCCTACTCATGAACCCATCCATGCCCTACAAACTGTCTAGCTGACATGCTCTGCAGGCTGTTTGCATGGGGTTGCACACCCTCAGGGGCTGGGGGTCACACCTACGGGGGCAAGAGGGGAAGTTGGCTTGGTGCCAGAACCTCCCCCTGGGCAGTAAAGTTCAGGGGGTGAAACGTTTGCCCACACAGGAGAGGAGAGTCGGGGAGGGGGAGGTGCTGCATCCTGGGATGCTGGAGGACTTCAACTTGGGTGGCTCATCTGTGAGGAGTGGTCACAGCTTAAAGGAAAGTGAGCTGGGTAACATGGATCAGAGATAAAACTGCCCTGCAGTGGCGTCACTAAGACACCTAAAATGTGTTTAAAACTAATTTCAGATGTGAATGTGTGGAAAATCCAGGGGTTAGGAGCTCCAGGAGTTGCCTAAAATGAATGTGTAACAGGGCCCTAACTGTCTTCATGAGGTTACCTTTCACTTCACTTTCAGTAGTGGTTCCCCACAAGGGGTCCACCAGACATGTAAATGTCTTAAGCTGTTTCATAAACCAAGTATCTAATATACCAAGAGTTTATCTTCAGCATAAGGATGAAACCAACAAGAAAATTTAAGACTCCTCCCTCAAATTTAATACCCTTCTCCTTTCGTGTCGCTGAAAAAGGTTCTTTCACGTTGTTCCCTGAACCTAGCAAAGCCTGTCAATATTCAGCTAGTAAACCCCCTCTCTTCTTCTTAAAATTAATTTCTTCTACAAGTCTCTATGTTTCTTTGTTGCTTAGTATTCTCATACCTTCCTATCCTTGAACTGCTGTTTTGCATTTCATTTTCTGCACATAGAACACATCTCCCTTAGACTGTGATAACATTGGAAGAGGGAAAGTGTCTCTTTCAGTGAGTCAATATCAGTAACTCCAATCCCATTCCAGTCTATGAATGTTGACCTTGACTTTGGGGTAGGATTTATTCCGTGGCATGAGAAACATTGTGTAAACCTACCACAAAATATAAATAATTGTTAATATTAATGGTGTATATTATAGCATGTACAAAAGAAATTAATTAAGGCAATGCTCTAATTTGGGTGTCAATGAAAACAGAAAGAGCCTTTTATAATACTTAAAAGGAAAATTTATAGCAACTTGTCTGTTTTCGGTGTTTCTGTTTAGGTATTAACCCCAGTGCAGATCAGATCTATTTGCCAAGCTATATTAGAATCAGGGAAGCAGTATGCAGTGAAGAGGAGGAAACCGTTCCCACTCATGTACTCTTATTATGGAACAGAATACCTTGGTGAGTAGAACGCACTAACCAATTTATAACAAAGGATTGCATAGATACCAAAGTTATTATTTCAGAAATAAGATGATAAATACTGATGTGTAGATGCAGACAATATGTAGTGTTTGTTTTCCTTTACTCGCAAATGATCATACAGATAGGTCTGACTTTTGTTTAGACGTCTCTGTAGGGGACACACAGAGGGAGCATGGGGCGGGGCACATGCCCCCCCGACAGGGCTGTCCCCGCTGCCAGTGCTGCCCGCAGGAGCTTGCCAGCTCTGGCCCCACCACTGATACTAATAGCGGCGTCCGCAGGAGTTTACCAGCTCTGGCCCCACCGCTAATGCTGCCAGCAGCATCTTTGGATGCTCACCAGCTCTGGCCCTGCCACTGATGCCACCGGCAGCTTCTGTGGGTGCCCCTGCACACTCAGGAGGAACTCATCACCCATGGACATGTATAGACTTGTGGTATGTGTGCTATGTTAAATGAAATGCAGTGATTAGAGCATTTCTAGTTATGTACCCCACATGCTCATACAAACTCTAATATTTCCTTTCTGTGAAAAACCTATGAGGGGAGTAAGCTTTCTGAAGTTCTCCCCATTAGGCTGAGACTTTCTCTTTTCTAGTGGTGGAATTCATGTATGGAATAATGTATATTGGTGGAATAATATATTCATGAAACAGTAGAGCAATCTGTTGCTTACACAGGCTAGATCTGTAAAAGAAAGTGTGTTTAATGTTCACTGTTCTCAAATGTTGCAATCACTTCTCAGTGGATTTAGGTGAACTCATACAGAGTTATCCTTATATTTAGGAATACAAAAGATAAATGGTAAAAAAATCTTAATGTCTTCCATTTGTAATAACCTGCCTAAAAACAGCATTATAACCTGCCTAGACAAGACAGAACAAATCCTGGGAAATGAGTTTTGATAAAAAGATGCACTGTGATGGATAGCCGAACAAATAGAGCTCTCTTATTTTATCGTTGTTGTTCTTTACAGGCGCAGCTCATGGACTTTCATCTATCCTTCAGATGCTGCTGTCCTATTATGAGTACCTCCAGCCTCCAGATCAGGAGCTTATATGGCAGAGTGTTGACTTCCTTATGGAGCAAGAACAGAACTGCAACTGGCCTCCTGAACTGGGAGAGACAATTGAGCGGGAGAATGAACTTGTCCACTGGTGTCATGGAGCTCCAGGTTCAGTTCAGAATGATGTTGTGAAATATCCAGATGTTACCACATCTCTCTCTCTCTCTGTTATCTCTGTATGATTTCATTGAGAAAAATGAGCTGGGGTCAGATTGTACTGATTTTATATTTTATGTGAATCAGCAAATTATTCATGGGGTTTTTTCCTGATTAAGAATTTGTGTTTGTAGGAAAAGCAGATCAGGCAAGGAGGAAAGCTCCCAAGAGTTCTTTGCAGTTCTACAAATAGCATGGCAATTCAGTGAAACAGTATATTACTAGGGCTGTGCGAAATTTCGACGGGTGTTTTGTTTTGAAGCTGTTTCAACATGCTTCAAGCTCGAAACAGCAAAATGTAAATGAAACAAAAGGCTTTGAAATGAAACAAGGGCACTCAAAACGTTCTGAAAGTTTCAAAGCATTTTGAGTTTTGAAGCTGGGCTTCCTGCAGCTAAACAGAAACTAAGGAGAGGGAGGGGGAAGGGGGGGGAAGGACTTATCTGATATTGACATCTAGCTCCTTGTTCAATCCCTGAGCTCTCTGATCATTTCCCCAGCTCTTCCCCGGGGGGGTGCGGGCCCCTGATCTGCACATGGTGTTTCAGCAGGCTGCCTCTGAAACTGCAGTGGCAACCTGCTGAAACCCAGTGCACAGATCCGGGGGCCTGTGACCCCTGGAAAGAGCTGGGGAAATTATCACAGAGCTGGGGAATCAAACCAGGAATTGCGGGAGCAAACCGGAAGCTGGGGGAATGTTCAGGTCCCTGAACCAGGTCAAACTAATGCACTGCTTCTTCTGGTAAAGCACATTTTTTTTAATGTCTGCAAAGCCACCTTACTGTCTTGAGTTGCGTGGCTTCCAAAATTGGTACAGGGTCAGCAATCTTTTCCAGCTGCAGGCTGAAATGACTAACTCCAGGGCAGGGGTGAGTGGATGGGTGTTAGATCCCAGATACTGCTTGTCTCTGTGGTGGCACATGGAAAGCGCCCACAGCTAAACCCCACCACTGCCAAATGCTGCTGAAGCCCTTGTATGCAGACTGGATCTAGTGGTTCTGCAGGCCAGATCCAGTTTATGGGCCACAGATTGCCAATCTCTGCTATAGATGAGGCACAAAACAAGTTCTGGCTGATTGGATTGGGAAGGTTTATGGAAAAGGACCCAAACAGATAAACCTAGAATTTTCGAGTGGGCTTGCAAAAGAGCCCTTTGTATCTTCCTCTTAAACAAAGCCTGTTTCTGTCTGTTGTTGTTTCACAGACCTGGCAGTATGACTTTTATTTTAAATGGGGAAGCAGTGTGTACCAGAAAGATGCTTTTGCTGGTTCTCTGTTACATTTAACTGCCATGGTGGGAAAAGAGAATCTTCAATTTAAGATTAGTGAAGCAAAGCCGATGTATCCTACATTGGGTTCCAACCCATGTTCTAGTAGGCTTTGCTTGTGATATTACATAAGTTGCTCTTTTGTCAAGCCCATAACTTGTTTTGAACTCTTCTTAGTTTCTTAGCATAAAATTACAAAACTACAGCAAAACTGACAGTGTTGCAGTACCAATCTATTTTGTTCACTTAACTTTTTTCTTGGAAAGAAAGAAAATTGCCTTCTCTGGCAGGTTAGCCACTGACCAGAACTGTCCTTTTATCCATCGCCTTGTTAGTACTTCTGGTATTGCAAACCTCAGTGGCGTTTCAAACAGTCCCAATTTTTTAAAACAAAACAGCCTACTGGATGAACATTTCTTGCTTATTCCTTAAAGGTGAATGATTTTTCTAGAGCAGTATATATTTTGACATGTACAGTGGGCAATAGATAATCCCACGTTAAGTGACAGATTTATAGCCTGCTATCTTGCAGTGCAGTGCATCAGAGCTAGAAATGGATGTTTTACACTGCTGTTGGAAAGCATGTACTTTCCGGTGAGAGACAGCACTTTCTTTGAACCTAACAAAATGCAAAGTATTAAGATCTTAATGTTTATAAGGAAATTGCTTCTTCCCAGGGAGCCCTTTATATTGGGTCATTCAGTAGTCACATGTTGAATACAGCTACCTCAGTAAATCATTTATACCACAACACTTATATATTATGGGTAGGCCCTGTGTCACAGATAAGCTATTCTGAAAAAAAATTAACTTGTGTTGGGTTTTTTTTTAATACTTATGCCTATATTTTGTTTGATTTTTTTCTAAGTTAGGTTTCTTTAGTTACCCACAACACAGCTGTACCATGCTGAGATTGAAATTTAAGCTAATCAAATCAAATCACCAATAAAAATTATCCAAAACGTTTTGGAGTGTAGAAAGAGGGTTTCTCACTAATTTGACCAGCATTTCAGGATTTTTTTTGGCTACAATAACTTGTAGCGTGTCTCACTAGAGAAGTGGATAGTTTCTATTTGTAGAATAGTTCTCTAGTTTCTATTTGTAGAAACATGAGCAGCTGGGTCTTGAACCTGTCACTGGTACAAGACCTATGACTTTGATCAGTGTAATTTGGTGTGTTTTGGTTGGGGGGAAGAGTTCGTGGGAATTCAAAATTGGTGAAATAAAGAGAATTTATTGTGGTGGGCCTTTTGAAAAGCAAAAGCGCAGCTGTCACTAAGCTATTTGAGGTTTGTGAATGTTAGAATAAGCCCTGGAATGATAGGGACAATTAATCAGATAGCAGGTGACTGTCAAAGGCTCATAATAAATGCATCATATCTCTCTCAGTTTATCAGGTAACTACCCTCCCCCTCCAATATGCGTACATGCATGAATACGTAAATATATATGAATATTCTTATACAGGGGTCAGCCACCTTTTGCTGCTGTGGGCTGCTTTTGGAATCTGACTCCTGCCACAGGCTTCAAGCATCCACCTCCTGCAGATGCCAGCTGCCTGTGCTTCCCCTCTGTACTGATTCCCATCCCTTCTGTGGCAAGAGTAAGCACAGGTGTGGCAGAGGAATAGGCTCCACTGCGGATTGCTGTGCCATATCAGACAGTGCTGACACCCCAGTTCTTATGTATTGAAAATATGGTGTTTTACCAGCTAGACTGTACTTATGAAAACCTAACCTCTCTACTGTTTTCTAGGCATTGCTTATCTGTTTGCCAAAGCTTACCTGGTTTCCAAGAAGCCCCAGTATCTGGACACTTGTATCTGCTGTGGGGAACTAACATGGCAGAAGGGCCTATTGAAGAAGGGACCTGGAATTTGCCACGGAGTGGCTGGTAGCGCTTATGTGTTCTTACTCCTGTACAGGCTTACTGGAAACTCTAAATACATCTATAGAGCACAAAGGTTAGTGTTCTTATTTCACAGCAATACCTCGCTCAATACATTATTCAGATATATTATGATAAGCATCTTGGGGAAACTGAAACAGGACGTACACAACCCTTCATAGTCACTGGCCCAAATCCCTTCATATAGCTTAAAACCATGAATATCAAAAGCAATTCTAGCTGCAGCTATAGCTTAGCAAGCTGCTGGTTTCATTACATTGACTGTTCAATTTCTTCATCAGCGATCTTGATGTTGGGGTGGAAAGCAACCTGTTTAAATTCGCTGATGACACCAAAATTTGGGGGGAGGTGAGCACGCTAGCAGGGAGAGAGAGATTGCAGAAGGATCTGGATAGGTTACAGGGGTGGGCAAACAGGAACAGGATGTGTTTCAATACGGACAAGTGCAGGGTGCTGCATTTGGGTAGTAGGAACCAGCGGCACACTTATACGATGGGGAACTCCCTACTTGAGAGCACGGAGGCGGAAAGGGATCTTGGTGTCGTTATTGACTCCAAGATGAGCATGGGCCGACAATGTGAGGTCATGGTTGGCAGGGCTAACCGGACCTTGTCGTGCATCCACAGGTGCATCTCGAGTAGAGCCAGGGAGGTGATCCTCCCCCTCTATGCGACGCTGGTCAGGCCGCAGCTGGAGTATTGTGTCCAGTTCTGTGCGCCCCATTTCAGGAGGGATGTGGACAACATGGAGAGGGTCCAGAGGAGGGCCACCCGCATGATCCGGGGACAACAGGGCAGACCCTACAGTGAGAGACTGCGGGACTTGAACCTATTCAGCCTCCACAAGAGAAGGCTGAGGGGGGACCTGGTGACCGTCTATAAACTCACTAGGGGGAACCAGAAGGGTTTGGGGGAGACGCTGTTTCCCCTAGCCCCCGCTGGCATAACAAGGAGTAATGGGCACAAGTTGATGGAGAGGAGGTACAGATTGGACATCCGAAAAAACTACTTCACAGTTAGGGCGGCTAGGAGCTGGAACCAACTTCCAAGGGAGGTGGTGCTGGCCCCTACCCTGGGGATCTTTAAGAAGAGGCTGGATACCTACCTGGCTGGACTCATTTGAGTCCCGTTTTTTGTTTAGGGTTCTTTTGTTGTTCTCCCGCCCTGGCGGGGGGTCGGGCTAGAAGATCTATTAGGTCCCTTCCGACCCTAAAACTGTGAAACTATGAAATGACTTTTTTTTAAAGGTTTTTAGAGTATTTGGCATGTGGTAGAAGTGAAACCAAGCCTGGATCTTTGGCATATATATGGCACACACAGGCCTAACATACTTCCATCAATTTTACATTCATATAGGTTCACTTACTTTAATGGAGTCACTTCTAGTTTACACTGGGCACATGTACACAAGATGTTTACTGGAGAGCTGCCTAATTAGCTCCACAGTAAAGTCTCAGGCTAGGGGCAGACATTCAAAAACCTGAAGCCTGAATTGATTCAATCTTTGCAGGTTAGTCTAACCTGCCTAGATTGAACCAGTTTGCAACTGTACAGATATTCCCTCTGGACTGAGGAAATGCAGGCATATGCTGGCAGCCACTCAGTCCAAGAGCTGGGGCAGGGTGAGGGCTCTAGAGCATGCCTTCGGCTGCAGGAAAGCTGTGCTGGCCGGTGTGGCCAAGCCCAGCAGTAGCCTGAAGTGAACTGGCCAGGGAGGGGGTTTAATTCCCCTCTCCCTGTCCCATGGACCCAAACTGGAGTCTGCCAGCACGCCCCTCTCACTGCAGTAGTGGCAGGGGTGCAGCCACATGCTGGCCAGCAGGGCCCTCTGAGTCATAGGGGGCAGTGAGGTGGATTAGTCTCTTCTCCTCCCCCTCGGCTCCTGGGGGACCTCAGTGGGGTCTGCCCACCCCAACTGCCACCGCTTGCTCCCTGCATGGGGCAAGCAGTAGGATACGTCCCCTCCTTCCCCCTCCACCAGATGACGGAGGGAAACGCCCTCCCTGCCCCCACCACCTAAGGGGCCATGCTGGCTTGGCTCTGGTCACACCCCTGCCCTGTCACTGGAGCGGCAAGGGGCAGCAACCACGATGGGGGCAGCAGCCCCTGCCATGGTGTTTGGGGAGCATGAGCCTCTTTCCAGCAGGGGGGCCAGGAGCAGAGGGTCAGAGCTTCTGCAGGGGGCGAGTGTTGGCCAGGAGGCTAGGAAGCTTCCTGGCAGGGGGGACTAGCCCTACCCAGCACCGCCACCACCACTCCACTTACACAGTCTGCGGCAGTTTTCCCCACCCTGCAGCATGGCCCCCCTGCCAGGAAGAGGCTTGCCCTCTGGGGCACCATGACAGGGGGTGCTCTCCCCATCACAGTCACCCCTCCCCCCCCCCCCCACCACCACTGCAACAGCAGGGCCGGGGAGGGGCCAGAGCCTAGCCTGTATGGCACCTTAGGCAGGGGGCAGGGAGGTCAGCTCCTTCTAGCATCTGGTGGAGAGGGCAGGAGGGGGTTTATCCCACTGCTTGCCCCACGCACGGAGCAAGTGGCAGCGGTTGGGGTGGGCCAACCCTGCTGCAGTCCCCCAGGGGCAGAGTGGGGCAAAAACTCCCCTCCTTGCCCCTTCACCTAACGGGCCCTGCCGACTAGGCTCTGACTTGCCCCCATACTGCCACTGGAGTGGGGAGTGACCATGACAGGGCAGCAGCCCCTGTCATGGTGTCCAAGAGCACATGCCTCTTGCTGGCGGGGCGGGGAGGAGGAGGAGAAGGAGGGGTGCTGTGCTGTGTGGTGGGGAAAGCTGCCACAGACTGTGCAGGGTGACAGGTGGTGGCACGAGTCTATGGCCCCTTCTGAGCCCTGGTACCACCATGCGCCCTGTGCAGTCTGTGGCAGCTCTGACCCCTGCTTGCAGCAAGTGGCTCATGCTCTCCAGTCACCATGGGAGAGGCTGCTGCCCGTCAGGGCTCTGCCCATTCACGGCTCCAGCAGCAGAGCAGGGGCATGACTAGAGCCCAGCCAACAGGACCCCTTAGGCAAGGGGGCAGGGAGGGAGGTAATTCCCCCCTCCCTCCAGCATCTCGTGGAGAGGACAGGAGGGGGCTTATCCTGCCACTTGCCCCATGCAGGGAGTGAGTGGTGGCAGTAGTCAGGATGGGCAGACCCTGCTGTGGTCCCCAGGGGCAGAGGTGGTGGGAGGAAATAACCCCCCTTCCTTCCCCCTCATGTGAGGTGGCCATGGCAGCTAGTGTCTGACTGTGCTCCTGCCGCTGCAGCAGTGAGGGGGGAGCACACAGCAGACCCTGACTTGGGTCCGTGGGACAGGGAGTGGGGAATTAAACCCTCTCCCTGGCCAGTTCAGGCTACTGCCAATGCTGGTGGGACAGGGGAGGGAGGGAGGGAGCGGAGGAAATGAACATTTTTTCTGCTCCCTTCTGGGGCCAGCGTCTAGCCAGGCTCCCACCCCTCCCTGTCCATGCTCTTGTTAGGGAGCAGAGGGGGCAAGGCCAGCCTTCCTCCACTGGAGCAGAGGACACATCCCAGAGAGCATGCTGGGATGCTGGAGGCCTCTGGTTTAACTTAAACCAGGAAGGGGTCTTGGACAGAAGTTGCATAAACTGGTTTGAGCTCAGCCAGTTAAGTCTGATACTACATTCAACCAGATTTATCTCAAACCCATTTTGGCCATTTTGAAACTGGTTTATGTGCATTGAACTTATGTTCTGTTACATGTTTAAACCAGTTTCTGATCACTTAAACTGGTTAATGTGTAGTGTGTGTCCCTAGCCTCAATGTCTACATGTTCAGCCCTGTTAGACTGCAAACTAATTAACTCTGCTGCAGGTTGGTACTTGTAAATACAAGTACTATCCTACAGCAGTTCTTACGGTGCAGCAATGCACATGTAGAGGCTGCCAGGCTGCCTAATGGCTAGCCCTGCACTGAAGGAGCCTCATGCCCCATCCAGCTCAATGTGCTGCAGTGCCAGATACACGTTCAAATGCTGCGCCTGGGGGCAATAAACTCCAGCGCAACATGCACTGGAGTTTATTGCTCCGTGCTAATCACACATGTAGATATACCCAGTGGAAGCAAGAGGAAGAATCCTACATGGGATTCTGTCAGGCTGCAATTATTCTTTGATTTAGATATTTTTTTCTGATTTATCCCAGCTGTTGTAAAGGAAAATACTGAATGTGTTTCTTTCCACTTTCCTCTGTGAAAGAGGAAATGACTCAATATTCCTAGTGATATATTTTCATCCTGTTCATTCGGCAGTATTTTGAGAGCTTTTCATCTACTTAACCATATCTCTGCTACAGGATTTGTTACATCAATCTGAAAAACCTTGTTTTAATGAATCAGGCTGGATGTTGTGAAACAAAGACCAAAACCAAAATGTTGTTTTTTAAAAAAGAATCTTATTTCTAGAATTATTAATGTCACACAGACATCAGAAACATATGGATCTCTGAAGAGTGTTGAACATGTTCTCACAGTAGTGTAACTGCATGGGTGACTGGGACATGAGCCCCAAGTGCTGATTTAGGGGAGGGCTCAGTAACAGAGCCACCGCTGCTGCTGGCCCAGCTGCTGCAGCCACCCTTACCTTCGGTGCCTCCCCAAGGGCAGAACCCTGTGACACAGTGATTTCCAACCTTTCTTCATTAACAGACCTCTAAAAAATTTTGAATGGGGATATGGACCTCTTTGGAAATTTTGAATGGAGGTCCCTTTGAATTGTAAGTGTGGGTATTCACATACTTTTGATTGATCACTGTCATCTTTCACAGACCCCTCCAGAGACCACAGATTGAAAGCCACTGCTCTAACAAATGGGCAGAGAAATCTGTCAGTGTTCTACATATTGAACCATGTTTTCTAATGACAAATGTGCAGATGCAGAGGGAATACCGTAAGATCAATTGATTAACAAAGACTTCCTTTTTTTTTCCTTTTCTGTTTCTTAGGTTTGCAGAGTTCTTATTTACAGAAGAATTTAAGGCTGGCTCCCGGGCATTAGAAAGCATATACAGTCTGTACGAAGGCTACTCAGGGACTGTGTGTTTCCTGATTGACTTGCTGCAGCCCAATCAAGCCGAGTTCCCTCTCTTCAGTATATTTGTCTAGAGAAGACAGCTCTCCAGTGCCACATTGGAACAGCCAAGCAGAGGGCACCTGTAGTTTCACTTATCTGTCTTGAAAGGCTATTTGCAAACAAGCCACATTCAGTGGTGCCACTAATGTGAGCCTTAATGTTGCCAGCGTCAGGTGAAAACCTAAATATACTGGGGTTTGGGGAGGGAAGTCTGGGGTAAAAAAAAAAAATTAACAGTGTATTGACAAATGGGGGGAATGAAACAGTTTTTCCAAACTGAAAGGAGAGAGACCACCAGTACTAAGAAGTAAAACCTGCTAATTATTCAAATGAGAGTGAAGGAGACATTTCCAGTCTTTAATGTGGTGGTGAGTTAGGAAAAACAAGATGGAAATCTGACTTGTTGAGATATGGAAAATAAATAAAATGATTTTAATCCAAAAGGTTTAAAGAGAGTCTCATAAAAAGAAGTCATTACAAAACTACATGCTGCTAGGTGAGGAAAGGTCACTGAAATGTGTAAAGGCAAAATCTGTATTTTCTTAATAGAACCAGCTTCACTAGTACTAGAACTACATTTAGTAGTGGTATTATATTTTGAAATCTTTTTGCTTTCATATGCACATCCTTGTCCAGTATTCCCATTGCCCTTGGGGGGGTTTCACATGTGTAAATGAGAGCTGAATCTAACCCTTCCTTTCAGAACTAAGGTGAGGAACACTGCATGACCACCATGCAATAGCAGTACTGCTTTGGATGGGAATCTTCTCTTTTACAAAGAAGATAAATAGAAGCCACGTAGAAGACAAATCAGTACTTTTTGTAGCAAGGTATAGGAATCAGGCAATTTCCTCACATTATAACATGCTCTGAGATAAATACTACTTTTTGCCAGATATATTAAAAAAATTTAAATATGTATTTCTTATAGCAGCATTATTTGAATAAGAGCATGCATATATGGAAACTGAAAGAAATAGTGATAAAATGACTTCCTGATGAAAATGATATACTGCAAACTAGTTGAATTCTGGCATTTATAAAATACCAAGCAGTAACTTAGGAGAAGGGTGATACAATGCTTAAAGTAAAACTCTTTCTTTTTTGGCTTAACAAAGTTATTTCCCATGTTACAAGGATACCACAAATGCACTGTATGTGCCCAAGTGGTTTGTAGCTTTTGAGATTTAAGGTCAATACAACAAAGCTACACTAACACTAATATGCATAAGAAGAAATTGCATCTTCTATTTTACATTATAAGCATACACTATTTGAAAACTAAAGAAAATGCAGATATACAGATTTTTAAAAATTCTATAGCAGCAAATACTTGTATGTAAAATATATTTCGCTATTATTTACCTTTACTAAATTTGGACTACAGTAATAGTGTCAAATTTAAAGTGGCAGTAGAAAGACTGGTAGATTTTAGATCATAACCCATAACTCAGAGTCAGCAAAGTAACATATGTGTACCACCCAGTCCCAGCGCTCTGCCTACTAACTTTCCTCATGCTTTGTCAACTGGAGAAGATACAGCTTTTATTTCTTACAGCCCATTCCCTTAAAGATGTCCATTGACTTAAAGGGATATTGTATAAGGCCACAGAATGGAGCTGGCTCTTGTAAACCTTACATATACTAGTAGAGTCAACCCATTCATATGCCTAGTGCCATTGATTTAATGACTTGTATAAGTTAGGTTGCAGAATCAACTCCTTCGTATTTAACGTTGCTGTGTAGTGCTTAATTATTTCTCCCCTGAAGTAGCTGGCTTTCACTAAAGCATTTAATTGGTAAATAAAACAAATCATTTCTGTACCAATTCAAGTACATTGGATGAAAGGTGTTATTCAGATGTTATAGTTATTTGAGATGAAAGGCCTCACTTAAAGGGATTACTATTACTTGCTTCATTCTTGTGGGCGGAGAAATTGTACATCTCACAGGTACATATACCCATTGTATTGAATCCTCAGGTCAGACTGAGTACTCTGTAAGAAAGATTAATAGGATTTGTCATGTCATCATCCAAAATGTGCCCAAGATCATTTATCTCAGATCTGTGGGCAGTTGGCCATCAAGATACTCTGATTATTATTTAGGTTGCATCCTGAGTTTTGAATAGGGAATAGATTTTTTTTTTTTTTTTTTTTTTTAATTAGTACCGTTCTTACTTATGTTTCAGGAAGGTGAAATTTTTGGTGCACACCTTTGTCCCTGTTACTTGGTATCATTTAACTCCAAATTTACATTGTCTGAAATAATCATTTAGTTATAGCTCAAAGTTACTAGTTATCTGTGTCAAGTTTTTAGAGAGCTGCTCTAACTGCATTTTATTTTATGCTGCAAAACAATCTTGGAAAGATGTTTTTAAAAAAAAAAAAAGGAAGGTAGATTTTTGCTGTTATCTGGACTCAGGGCTGTTTTAATTCTGCAAATATTAACAACAACAACAACATTATTTACAATGCAAACAGAACAAAACAGTCTGTGTTTTGATAAATACACAGTACCAAGGCACCCAATTCAGTCCAGAGCAAGAACTTAACAGCATATTAATTATCACATTTTAATCTTTTCTCTTTAATCTTTTCTTGTTCTCCTTTGTTTAATTATCTTTGGTGCCACAAAACTTACTAGCATCTGATTAGTTTTATCTATGGACTTTTCAGTGTAGATTCAGATCTGTGCCAAAAATTCAAGTCAATCTAGAACATAGGGTGAATAAATACAATAATTGAGATGGAAACTAAAAAAAAAAAAGAATGTTGATACTTTTAGCATACAAACTAAGTTTACAAATAAGGATCACAGTGATGCAGTGTTTTAAATACAGTAAAAACTGTGTTATCCAGCATCTATGGGAATGGGGAGTGCCAGTTAATCAAATATGCCAGTTACCTGAGAGGCGTCTTTGCCTGTTTGGGCCGCTGCCCCTTCCACCACGTCCGGTGCACCAGGACTGGTGCTCCCTGGCATCAGTGTGCCGGGGGACAGGGAGGGGGGCCGGATCCACACAGGCTGCTTTGCCTTGCGCCATGGTCCAAAGTTGGCAAAGTGGGACTCAGTGAAATTGGAAGTGCCAGGCAGGGTGGGACTTCCAGTTTTGCCTTTGCCATGTTGATCAGCATGATGGTTAATAAAGCATGCTGATTTAATAAAGTGCTGGATAGCACAGCTTTTGCTGTATATGAAAAAAGTAAAAAATATGCAGTGAAGGTAATGGATTTGGTCTCACTTTTCTGTTTTGTTTAACTTTCAGTGGATATAGTTTTATTAATCTTTTAATCTCATTCCATATAAATGACAGGATGTGTAACAATTAAATATTCTTCCTGTCTTCTTTGATACTTTTAATTTTGTATGGGGTTCATTCCTTCTGATTTACATTTTTAGTAAGAATTCTCTTCTTATATGCTATGTATTCCAGAAGCACCAGCAAGCAAATTTCCTGCCTTTTCTTGCAACCCTTGGTCATGCTAGCAATTTTGGCCATAGGGATAGTGTATTTTGGGACCAATCCTGTGATTGAGGAGTTCTTGTTTGAATAAAGATTGTATGCTGGGCTCCTTAATTAATATCCACCCACCAAAAGAAAGCAGGCATAATCACTTTTCACTTTCAGAATACTGGAGTCGGATCTCTTCTTTAAGCCAATAAAAGTTGTGCCATTGATTTCAGCATGAGCAGAGTGAGACCTATAGTTCATTGATATAACAAAATTAGATATTTCAGTCCCTTGCAGGACATGTTGTGCTGAAATTGAATTATTCATTTCTTTCATCTTAAAAAGCCTTTCACATACTTTCTTAGCAGTGAAGCTTCTGTGTGCCATCAAAAAATATGCTGCTACACTTTGTTGTATATTAAGATGACTGTGGTGCAATTGCTTTAATGTAGGTTTAATGGCTCAAATTCCGATCTTCAGAATTGCAAACAAAGTCTGTGCACATTTTCCAAGTTTCTACAGAAGCAAATGCTAATTTATGAGTTGACAACAATGAACAGTTGGTGTGGAATGTAAAAAGAAAATTATCTAATGGGCCTGACGAAGGGTTTTTGAACCCGAAAGCTTGCTTAATAACTATTCTCCAACCATTTGGGTTGGTCTAATAAAAGATATCAAATTCACCCAAGGAACCTTGTCTGTCTAATGGAGTTAGGCACTTAACTGGCTCATGATAGATCTGCAGTGCGGTAGGAGGGTATTTGTCACAGCACATGTAGACCTACCTGCTCAAACTTTAATCCAACTTTTTTGGGTACTGACTGCAGTACGGCCTTAGCGGCTCAGGCTACTGATCCAGCTAGGTTAAAGCTAGTTTGGGTACACTGACGTACACTGTAATCACACCTCCTGAATGCGGTGTAGACATTACCCTCTGGCACTTTTGAAAATGTCAGTTGTAATGCATATTTGGATTGTCTTTTCTTTCCTCCACATAATCTCCGTCTCCTTTTTACTCTATTTTCTATATTTGTAGCTTTAAGATATTAGCAGGAACTTGAGTACAGATACCAGTGCTTCTCTTTGTGACATACAATAACGTGATAAGCTCTTTTGTGTTCTCTCCTTACTGCTCTCGGAAACTAATCAAACTGTCTGTCTCAGTCAGGAAGTTACCCCTTCCCACTCCAGTGCCATAATCTTATTTGATTTGATTCGATTCAAATCAAAGCTTATTTGATTTGAAAAATCATACCTCTGTATAAATTCTGCTAGTGCCATGACAATACTGTATGCTAGGAGACCCTTACTCAGCCTTTTTCCAAATGCAGAACAGCAAATGGCAGACTCTCATTTACATATTAAAGTGAAACCCCTTAATGTGTTTTATTGCTTAAATAAAGGCTATTTAGGGAATTTAAGTGGTACAACACCATAATAGTGTTTCTGGTTATGCTTTCTTAAGCAAAGGGGACAGACTTTGCCATACATTATGTGTGTCATTGCTTATTTGTGATATGTATTTGTGCATATGTGTCTTGTTCTTATTGAGTAAACCAGTAGACTAGATATCAGCCAAAGGGGCTATATACTATTTATGATTGTTGTCAAGTCATCTGCAAATTCTTGTTGTTGAATAATTTATTCTAGTTCAAAATAGGATACTAGATAAGCAATATTGAAGTTTAGTAATTTTAGTATTCATAGAGCTAAGTTCCATTTATAATTTCCAGCACCAGAAATGCAAGTTCTAACAAATACCTCTTGTGTTTTCCTACCATTTCCAGCATCTCAATGCCTGGAATATATTTATTTTCTGCCATTGCTTTGTACCTCAGTTCTGTATACAGGTTTTTTTTTTCCTTTTCCACCTTGCACCCATGCTATGAATTGCTTCAGAAGGCTGGATTAGCAATCCAGTTCCTTTGCTCTTGAAAACAACTGTAGGACTAAATATAAAAAGAGACTGTCCACATATTTGCATTACAGTATTTTCACATTTCCCTCTGCCCTTTGCTCATTGGCTCTGCCTCTTCCCTAATGGTAGGTATAATCACTGTACTGTATATTGTCACTGATTTTTCAGGTCAGTGACTATAACAAAAAATGAATTTAAATGGAATATTTCCATTTCTGTGGTATCTCATTTCTATTAAGACAATCATGAGAGGATGGATAAAATAGCTAAATTTTCCAAAACAGGCACTTAAATTGTTTTTAAAATGTGCACAAATGAATGCAGATACAGTGGTCACCCTTGAAGATTTTTCAGCTACCTTTGTAAC